TTTATGCGTGTTTGTTTCTATGTGCATGCTTTTAATAATTGATTCTTGTCATGTTGAAGGGGTTTTCGTGGTCCAATGACTCTGAGAACGATGTCGTTTGGGAGTTCTGAACTCCGGGGCACGCTTGACGGTAAAGTCGAAGACGAGAACTCAGACTAAACGCGACCAACCCGAAATACCCCAACGGTAGAGGATGACGATTACAACAGATCTCAAAGGTTGAACCAGCAGATGAAGAGGGCTACGCATGACGGACATGCTACAGAAGGCGTCACTCGAAATTATAACAGACTCAGCGGCAATCCGTTGCAGTTTCATAACTGGATTCAGCATGTATCATTCTATACATGCCGCAGAGGAATGTCATGAAATCAAATGTGTCGGTCACTTCCTTTAAGCGGAGGTCCACCTAAGCAAATTCACTTGAACCTGCACGTTGACGACGAATTTAGTCATCAAGGCCATCATCAAAAGAAGAAATTAAATTCTTGGCTACAAGATTAAGCCGACTACGACGATACGTGCGTAATAATTTTATTTGATTGAAATTTTCCTTGATGAGAAAGACCCTTGGCAATAGATATGAAAAACATTCACTAAATGCAAAACAAACTGTTGCAGTTTAATACTACAGGTTTTCCCCACAAAATTGACATAATTTAAAATGTGAATATCTGAGTAATTACTTATCCCAGACAAACGAAATTAAATAGGATTCATGTTGAACAATAAAATATTTACTCATCAAAATTCGAACAAGATATTCAGAGGAATGTAGATTTTATAATCGATTTCACAAAGCTTCATAAATGTTTAATATGTGCACCATGACACACGTCAAGTCAGTAGTCAAGCTCTTGCTAAACACGCTGTAGCGTGTCTTGCGTAACATTCTCCAGCGTCTCAGTGATTCTCTGCTTAAGTTCCTCTAGGTCTGTAGGAAGAAGGGGATATAGACTTGTCCTTTCACATAGTCCCATAGAAAAACTATCACAAGGTGTCAAGTCAGGTGAACGTGGTGGCTATTTGAACTATTCGAACACACACACACATTGCCATTATGAATCGTCTTGGTAGATTTTCATTGAGATAAGTCTACAGAGTCAACTTAGTTTTTACACATTTTGTTTAAATTTGAGATTCATTTGAATGAGAATTGACTATGGTATTGGACTAGAAAATGATGTCAATTTGTGGCGGGGGATCCTGTATATTCACGTTAAGCAACGTCGAGACTGGTGACCGCTTAAGAATGCCAAGTGCTCTAAACTTCATTGCACAGGTGATGTAATAGATAACGGCTCGAAATTGAAAATCGGATAGCTGAGTTCCAATTCCAATCGGGTTCATTATATTCACTTACGCGCAAATACCCTTTGTGAAAAGTATGAATCCATCTCTTCTCTCTCCAGCTAGGGGTTAATCAATAGGACTTGCATAAGTAAATCATTATTATCTTTAAAATATTCTTACAATTTAAAATATTTTCTGGCTTTAAATAACCTGCAAAAAGATTGATAAACTGTAAAAACAAATTAATAAAAAAATCAAATAAAATCTTGATTAGAAATCAAATATGTTTTTACTTAACCTTGTCGTTTTTCAATATAAATTTGTGTCAGAATTAATAACAACCATTTTGAATTTGGCGCTCAGTAGTAAATGCTCTTCGACTCCCCCCCCCAGTATATCGGACGTTGAAGAATTTTCAGAGACTTCCGTGGGTCATCTTTTATTTTTGTTTAATAAACTTAGCTTAGTTTTGGCAAAGGGCATTTTTTTTGGCATTGAACTCACTACAATATAGTAATGGTCAACCAGACAATCTTGCTAACCACTATACCACAAGGGCAGGCCGATTTTCGAAGCGTAGTATTGCATTCAGTTTGAAAGTTGAGGTTTTATATGGTAAATAATGACACAAAATATTTTTCCACGTCCTTACCGTTTTTTGAAGAAACCAGTTTGAATATTAAGTTTAATTTCAAAATCGTAGTATAGAAATTTCATTTTGGTGATCAGTGAAAGCCTTATAACACTGGTTTGTAAAATTTATAACTTACTGAAGCTTCACAAATTATATATGGACAAGTTGCATGGCACAATTACATTATTAATATCATTGTGCTATCAAATAAGACCTTCATTTCCTTCAAAGGGAAATTATATTATTATAAAAACAATTTAGTTATATTATGATGTAATATATTATACAGTGCAGTAGTTTATTGTTATTCTCAAAAAACAACGCAAATTTAAAATATTTTGTCTTATAATATTATGGTATTATATACACTTTTATCTATTTTTTTAGTGATTATGATCTAACAAATGATCTAACTAATTTTATTCATTGAGTAGACTTTTATACAAAAATTGTATATTTCGCTTGTGGCGATTCATAAGTTGAATTCTGATTTAAATATATTTTCCATTCAATATAACTAATGCAAAAGATATCAACCTTATTTGGATTTATTCTTCGAATAGCAAAATTTTG